CAGGTTCACCCTGGGGGAAGGGGGCCAGTGAGCGCTGTGCGACATCAACAACACCACTGCGACAGCCACCCTGACGACACCATCATCGACGCTCGCGACAAAATTCAACAAGCGAAAGTTTAGATGACAACGAACAACGGCACCACCACCAACCAACAACGACATGGATACCTTGTCGAAGAAGTTGGGCGGGTTCAGGGTCGAATCCTGATCAAGACCCAGGTCGTCCAGCTGGATCCTTGCCCTCTTGAGGGCATCAAGAGCGTGCGTCCAGTCGACCTTGTCATCGCGAAAGCTGAAGACACATACAAGACAGAGGGAGCAGTGAGGTGAGGCGAGAGGAAGGCGTGCGTAGCGTGAGGGGTGGACGCAAAAAAGGGTAGCATTCCCGATCTCGTGCTCCAAGAACACCCACCGGCGGTTGTCCGTCGTTTTCTTTCGACTAGAAGAGTGTGCCGCGAAAAAAAGTTCGCCCGTGTAAATTCACGTCGGACGGCACCAGCCTTTCCGCGGGAAGAAATCGACGAGAATGTGCGGAAATTCCATCTCCGGAGCAGAGCACGCCTCCGAGGACAAGCCGCGGAGGAAAGAACATCGTTCCATGGGGAAGCCAGCGATCAGAAAGAGGGGGTGACGTCGTCACAGGGAGACAGTGGAACCCCGGCTTCGAATCGGACACGTCTAGCATACCCGCAATGCTTGATCGCCCCGCTGCAATTCCAAGGATTCCCTCGCCCCCTCCTCCAACTACTACCTCTTGCCACGCGCCTCGAAGAACCTCAGACGCGTTTGTTTTGATCAGAACGTTGAGCCTTGTATACCACTTGTGTACGTACGTTCCCCACCCACCGCCGCGCTTTTCTCTTCCGAAGAACTCACACTTGTTTCTGCAAGGCGGCGAGCTCTTCCTTGGTCTCCTCGTCCATCCTCAGAATGCTGCTGTTTCTCGAACAGACGGTACTTCTCCTGGATGCCGTCGACGCCGCCGGGCTGCCACAACACGAACA